ATATATATATATATATATATATATATATATATATATATATATATATATATATATATATATATATGTGTGTGTGTGTGTGTGTGTATATACATATATATATGTATATATATATATATATATATATATATATATATATATATATATTTTAAACCAGACATCTTCAACATGCCCGCTAAAAAAGAAGCCCTATACCCCAATTTCCTCGCAAAATGCGTAAAACTAATATATTTTAAGGCACTTATGCGTTAAATGTCCTCACGACAACATTTTCGACCGATTCGCACAGTTAACTGCTCTACAGGCCAGCATTTCAATTTCAATAAAAAGAAGAGATACGCCCTCCCAACGGTTGCAGGCGACTGTTCGTGGCGGTGGCTTCCGGGACATCAACGGCGGATTCCGGTGGCTTCAACCACGCACGCTCGATGCACCATCCGGCTCCCCCCTACATGAGATCAGTGGCCACCACAAGAGCAGCAAGACCACGAGAATAAAATTATGGCATTGATGACATACATGTCAGGATATTCATGCAACGACTAGTCACTTATGCTGGTCATGTTGTCATGTTATACCATACCAATTTTGGTATAGATCCCATTATCGCATTATCCCATTATCTCAGGTGGCTACATAGATAGATAGATAGATAGATAGATAGATAGATAGATAGATAGATAGATAGATAGATAGATAGATAGATAGATAGATAGATAGATAGATAGATAGATAGATAGATAGATAGATAGATAGATAGATAGATAGATAGATAGGATAGATAGATAGATAGATAGATAGATAGATAGATAGATAGATAGATAGATAGATAGATAGATAGATAGATAGATAGATAGATAGATAGATACGGTGACGAAGTTCACTAAAAAATGCTTCGCATTTAGACCCTGACATCAGCAGCGTTGACCCGACGAATGTGAAGAACAAATGTCAGCGTCTCAGCAGAAATCGAACCCAAACATCGTGCCGAGATATCAAGCATCCTACCAAAGAGCCACGCCAGTTCTCGGAACTACTTTTCAAATAGACCCTGATGTTTGAGGGACGTCAATCGTGGTTTTAGTGCTGGCCATCTAATTTTATAAACAGTAAATATGTACTCCTATGATATGGCTGTCACATTATGTTAACTTAAATAAAGTTAGGTGCCTTCTGCTGAAGTTGATTTATGTAGCAGTGTCCAGGGCTGCCACCCTCGCGAGCACCTGTGCTTCATCTTCATATCAGCTGATTGTTTCTTGTGTCGCTAATATTCATGCTATTGTTGGCATCGTTGCAAAAGTGGAAAAAAACTGGTTATATAAACATCTGCACCTCAACATATGTCTGTGTGTCCAACAATTATGAATTTTTTAGCGTCATTCGATGACGTGTCGCTCAATAAAAAATTACTACATGCTCACCTTCCCTTCGCATGACTCGCATAAATCGCAAAACGTTGACTCCCAAGATACGTGGGATCGGCCAATTTTTTATAATGATTTTCAGCTACCTGGTATTGCTACCGCTTTCGCAGTTATAAACAAGCTCTGCGTGACCTGCGATCAGATGTCCAAGACAGGCGAAAACGAAGGCGCACGAGTGTCGCAGGCACACTGCTGCTGATACCATGAAATTGAGGTCCCTTGAGGACGCCTGGCAGCAAAAGATTTGTCTTCGACTTTTTTTACAGTGATCTGTAGCTTTTCGTATGGTAATGCCGAAATTGAATCGTAAATGCTCGAAGGCATTTTGCAACTCATGATAGTGTCGTTAGTTCAGAACGATTTTGCGTCAGTTCGAAATGCCCGCCTAAATATCATAGGAAACTAGCTCCCCACAGTGGAGCAGCGCGTGAGACTGTACGTTAGCTGAAGATGCAGTGGCGCTGAACATGCCGTTTTCAAACAAGTGGACCTGTGGGTGGTGAAGAATGAAATAATGTGGGTGGTTTGAGCGTGTCCGTCTCATAAAAAGTCACAGCTTTGCCGCAAAGGCGAAGCAATGAACACGGCAACAGACGGGAAGGTCACGCGCAGAATGGCAAGCAGATCGAAACGTGCCCCGTGTTTCTCACGCACAAATAACGCATGAAACGGACGCACAGGTACAGATGAACGCGAATAAGCATCTCAGTTGTTACTTCGCTGTGTCCGAAAAGCACGCTCTTTTCACAAACGGAGACTGTACAACGATTGCAGGGACCTTTGTGCGTCCGGCAACTACAACAGAATCGTTCAGGTGGATGCCACAGACCAGCCAAGATCCCAGGCTCCCCACTGCGAGAAAAGGGCGTGCAAGCGAGTGCCTTCCATCTTCTCTCTGTGGGGCAAAGACGCGTGAGATGAGAGCACGCGCCACCGCACGCTAATTGCGCCATCTTGCTGGCAATGCTGAACATACGATACCCCCCTCCCCCCAGATGCCCATCACTAGCGGTAAGTGATAGATATAAATAGCTTGCCGTTTGAATGGTGAAGCACGTGATTCTTTCTGGCTCAGTGGTTGACGCCTAGCATTCGTGACTCAGAGGTTCCACGTTCCATTCCACACGCCGGAGACTATTTCAAGATTTCTTTCTTTTTTGTGCTTGTATATATATAGATAGGCATACACATACGGTGAGTGACGCCAACGGCGGTGGCAAAATCCAACTGAGTGTTTCCATATAATTGCTATCGCAATAAAAGAAAGCATTCCTGGCGCAAGCAGCCAAAGCCACCATGAGAGCAACTCGACAACAGAGCGAAGAGGGGTGACGGTGAATAGCCCTCGTCGAGGGCCAGCCACGATATTTTGCGCGCCCCGCAAATGTTCTCTGACACCAACAATGCTTGCTTGACTTCTGCAAGCTCACGAAGGGGCCTCCTGTCTACGTCAAACCACAGAAAATGTCGATTGCACCTGAATACTAGGACGAGCATGCACTGTTGCTTTAAAACCAAATTAAAACATTTTATGAGCAACACTCGTCACTAATAACCGACCCCTCAACATTACATATTTTCTTTTTTTTTTAATTTTATGGAGATATGTTTTGTTGGTTCGTGACCTATATTTAACTACTCGACCCACCATGGAGATCAAGCATTAGATTGATAAATTAGTGGTCAAATTTTATCTACTTGAAAAACGCAAAAAAACGCAATGTACGCACCTATTCCATGGTTTGTATATGCACGTACTAATTGAAAAGGAATTTCAATCAGCTCCACCATAGTAGTGCGAATATTGAGGTAGCGGCGACACAGAGTTGCTCACAAATTTACCAAGAGGGAAATTTGGCGCTAGTGGGCTGCTGGATGCAAAGGAATGACGGGATATGTGACCTTCGAACTTGATTCAAATATGTATACCTCGAAGACGCGTCTGGCTTTACGTTAAAATGATGGATTTCTAACTAAAAGAGCACGTAACAAGTTATTTATTTTTGTTAATGCACAGCGACGTGTTTTATTTAACTCTGGAACCATCTGCGTCGATGTACAATTTTACGAAGCGTCAGAAGTAACCAATGACTGCTAAAGTTGACTGGCAGACCACAAAGCGAGCGTTCCCTCCGCCACCTTTATGACGTCTGTTTCTTTCGCTGTTTGGTTGTGCCGTCAGGGTAAGTGGCCTTTTAATTTAAAATATAAGACGCGTGATTAAGAACCGCTAATAAACGTTTTGATTTAGAGAGGCGTTATTTACGCAATCAAAGTCGCTTTTGAGCCAAGGCCGCGCTCAACATGCATCCAACACAAGCCTCGCAGACAAATATACCGCCATTGATTGCGCTCCAACGGGTCCTTTAAGAAAAACATGTAAACGGTGGCACCACACTTCCCTCTAGGTATACTTGTGAGAAACTCCCTGAGCAGTGAGGACTCTCGAGGAACAAGCTGCCCTCCCATGCCGATGTCCCTTCCTCGCTTAAACGACATAGGTTTGTAGAGAACGTGTTATGTGACTAGTGTTACGGGCTTTGGCGGGGACCTCTCAGTGTTACGGGATTACATTGGGAACATGTCTGTTATTTGATAATACGTAACGTTCCTCTCCCATTTCGTTTTATTTTCTATTTCATGCTCTCTCCCTTTACATTTTTCTCTGTTCCTTTCTGTGTTGTTCTCTTTTTATCTCTTTCCTTTTTTACCTGCCTATGTCTCTCAATGCCTTTCTTTCTGTTTCTTGCTTTCTCTCCTTTTATTCCCGTCTCCCTCTCTGTATGTTCTCATGGTCATCTTTCTTATTGCATCACACGAAAGCGGAACCACCACAGCAGGAGAGCGCACTCCAGGCACATGTGTTACGGCAGCGATGAAGAAGGCAACGATCAGAGCGCGCGCCAGCATGATGATGATAAGGTTGTCACCATCGATGCATCGGGGACCTCTTGTGAAGTGGTCAAAGTTATGGCGGACGAACCGGTGGCAGGGGGAAAGGGGGGGAGACATGCTCGCTACCGTGTTAAAAGGAAGGCACAATATGTGACGCAAATGTAGCGCTATTGTGAGTGATGTAGCGGAGAACCACTGTTTTATTGCAACATCAGGAAAGCTACGGCCAGCTACAACAGCATCGCTATTAAATCCTTAGTCGCGGAACGATGGGTCACAGCAGAGCTGGTAAGCACGTTTCAGCTTCTTGATAATCATCTGTACAGAACGCTTGGGTGGTGATTCAGTGCGTGCCAGTTTATGATGATGATAATTTTCTATATACAGCACTCGGCAAAGCTCGGCCATAACTGTTCTGCTGTAAAACATACTTAGCCGTTGGAGCGTTGGACTTATGAGCCGGAAAAATGGCTATATAGACCAATCTGCCCTTACTTTCACATTAGTGAAGGTAGGGCCATCCATTGGCGAGAACGTGTCATTATTTACGAAGAAGAAGCGGAGAAGAAGGCCCACAGTGGGTACGAGCCGTGGCTGTGGATTCATCATCATCATCATCTTCACCCACAAGCCTAGTGGTAACGTGTACAGCGTCAGCTGCTCGGCAGACGAAGTGAAGACATGGCGGACGAAGGTTCATCGTCAGGAGGCCGTGGAGCCGGGGCTGGCGGTGTCGCCGCTTCCCGTCGCGGCGTGCGGCCACTCAAGGCAGCCTTGATGGCCATCTTCTCCTTGTCCCTGGCACTGGCAATTGCCCTAGTAGTCGTTTTCACCGTAAAAAACATCCACAGGCCCAAGTTCCATGGCGAGTTCCAGGCGTCGCACCTGTTCTCGTGGCAGCGACAGCGATCTGGTTTCATCTACACGTGTACCTCGGAGTACTGCCTTAAGGAGGGCGAGCAGCTTCAGAAGCACGTAGCCTGGACGCTGGACCCATGCGAGGACTTTTACGACTACGTTTGCTCCAGCACAAAGCCGGCATCATCGGTGCGCAGATCGGCCGTTCGACACTTTCTGCGTGAGATTCACGACGTCATTGACAAGTACTCACGGCTAGGTTGGCTCAAACGCACTCGACTCACTAATCAAGTGTCGTCATTTTACAAGGCGTGCAGGAGTGGCCATTACAACTCTGTCCCAGAACAAATGGATCAGACGCTTGTATTGCTCAAGCTGTCTGGCAAGGACGCAATCCTCGAAGAAGGTCTCGCCTCGCTGGCGAAGATTCTGCAGGTATTTCCGCTCATGCACGTGTCCGTGACGACCAAGGCCAAATACAGCCGGGAATGCATCGCACTTAGGAGGCCGAAGACTTTTAACGGGGACCACATCTTCGACATTCCGAAGGCCTTCTCGAAGAAGTACGTCCCATTCGTCAAAGCACTTCTCGGTTCCGAGCAAGCGGCGCAGAACGTGAGAGAAGTCGACATCTTTCTAAAAAAATTCTCGGGTCTCTGGAGCGAGAGCTATCAGAAAATGTCGGAGTACGAAACAACCACGATCGACGAACTCAGGGTAAATGGTTTGAACTGGAAAACTTTCTTGTTTAAGTTAATAGAGTCTGCAACCAAAGACCACTGCGTTGTCATTCTCTCTCAAGATTACTTTAAGCATGTTGAGAAGATGTTCCAAAAGTTCACTACCAACCAAGTTGCCGACTTCGTCAAGTACAGCGCAATTCTCCACCTCTATCCCTTTGTGAAGCTTCAACAGTCTGCTTCATTGGCCACCTACCAAAACATCAGCGAGGAGGTCTGCTCGCTCCTTACTTACAGAGTGTTCAACTACATTTTCGTCCGACATTTCAACTCGACTGTTCGCCTCGATGTCATCACGAGTGCTGGAATGAAAGAAGCCATTTTACGGAATTCGTACAGGTGAGCCAGAACACAAAGAACTTCACAACTTCTATTGGTCTCTAATTATAATGGTGACAAGGTTTGCTTGCTAGCGATGCTGAATTTTTTTCATTTTCTTGAACGCTGATGATGTCTGATCTTCATGTTGTAATGCGCTGTCGGGTATAACACAGACCACAAAAAAAAGACAGGACGCAACACAAAATGATGAGCAAACAACTTGCTTTATTTTGAGCATTTGAAGGCTTATAAGCAGCCTCAGCAAATACGGGAACAAATTTGTCGAATGCTCAGATGGCGTTATGTACAGCATTTCCCCCTCATGAAATAGGAAGTATATAGGCCAGAATAGGCCAGACTGGGATGTGCATTATTGAGAGACCCAAATAGCATATTTGCTCCTTTATGGTGTTGACTCAACCTAGCCATTTGGCTTCCCACTGCGCAGATTTAAGTTTAAGGCGTTGTTTCAAGGCACAAAAAGTGTCGACGTGCTGGGCTAGTCAGATAGAGAGGTCAACCACTGAAGTGTTTCTTGTGCGTGCATGTCACCGAAGCACGCCCTCAATTTAACTTTCTGAAAAAGAAATTACCCTTTCAAATGCAACCATGTTACCGAATGCATAACACATAACACGTGTCGCTGGCGCTTTTTAATTCAGAGACCGATATGCCTTCTTTAAATATCGTCGACGGTTTCTCATAGCTGAATTTCCCTTCCTTTTTTTCGCCTTTTCTTCTTTTTTTATGTGAGCCTGTATCTGTCTTTCTAGGCTCAAAATAAAATAAGTTATTAGTTTGCACATAGCCCTGGCCTGTCTTTCGCTTTCTTCTGTACTTGTAGTACTTGGCGATGCATTATAAGTTGAAGTCGTACTAACTAGCCCCCAATGCACTGTTATTAGCTGGTGTCTGACTGCTCAAAGGAAATGAAGGTGGGCTAGTAGGGTAATGCTGACACACCGCTTGTTAACATTTCTGAATTTGCTATTTTACGGGCAGTGCAGACGACCATTCTTGATAGCACATTGCACAGCCCACCATTCCGCAGAGTACGTACCTCAGCACTCGAGATTAGGACATTTTATCTTAAAATATAAACGTTGAAGTCATAATTTGGTTGAGGGCTGACGCTTACTGCACAGTTGACAAAATATACTTCATTCATGTTTTAACTTCGCCCAAAGAGCATATCGGCTGGTCGGAGTCAACTTACAACTATGGTACTCCGATAATTCCCTACGCCGTCAACGTTTCGTGAGTGTATTTTCGTCGCCCACTATGAGTATTGTACGTTATTCCGTGCGCTTATCATGCTCACAACACTCCATCTACAAATGTTTGTCCGTTGCTGGTCAACAGCAAGCCCTTCCACTTGCGTGTGAAATAGAATATATGCTTTATCTCCGAAACTAATAGCTGCAGTATACGCTGGCCAAGCAAAGCTGAGTAATTCTTGTAATTGAGATACGGTGCAGTAAATATTAAGAAAAAAACATTTTGATAACACGCTATCTGGGTGCGTGGATATTTAAGTTGCTTGATAATTAGAACATTTAATTTATCTCCACTTATGAAAAATATTACAACAAAAAAACTGAACGCAGTCAGCAGGCCCATAGCCAGGATTTTCTTTTGTTTTGCGGGAGGGGGCATTTGAAGACCTTGAAAAACACATTTCATTATTTTTTCTCGGTTAAGTACCTCCTCCATACAAATTTGGAAAGAGGGCTAGCCCCCCCCCCCCTTGTCTATGGGCCTGGCAGTCAGTATTCACAGAATGCTCACTAAGTACGCATCCTTGAATTGTCACGAATTGATAAATATCTGTCTTCAAACTAAAGATAACGTGCGCTATTGTAAAACATAGTTTATCACCAAAACCTTTGTTATAGCACTGTTTTAAACGAGTGTGAGAAGTTCGACATGCCTTGTGGAAGCGCCGGATTCTCATCTTTGACGTGCAAAAAAAAAAAAAAGGAGGGACACCCTGAGAAGAACAACATATACAAAAAAGTTCGCAATATCGAGTTCTTTATGAGCAGTCTAGAAGCCGTACTACGCCATAAGCTCACAATGCAAGATGACATTTCACTCTTTATGACTCTTCATTCTTATTCATATCCGAACAGGGGGCGGGGGGGATCAAAAGTTTTCAGGTCACTATCCCATGTATTTCTATGAAAGCGTGACCTGAGGACTTTTGACCAGGACTGTACATCGACTTTCACCACACTTTTGATAGCATATTTCATGGTCACCTAAATGTGTTCTTTTTTTTGTATGTTCATTATTCATTGTCTGGTCACATATTGTCTATAGTTTGAAGCGATGGTCTCTATGTTGCTTTTAATACTTTTGCTTTTCCCTGTGCATGAATACCGTAATCTGCAACAAAAATGGCAACTGTTTCATGGCAGATTTTTAGGGCACACTACCTTGAATTCTCGTGCTTCATATACGACTTGAGTAATAATGAGCTTCTATTTCACATTAGAAATGTAAAGGAAGATATTGGAAACATGTATAAAGATGCGAATAATGTGTTGGCGAATGAATAGCTTCTTTAGATATACTGAAAAACCTTTCTAGAAGTTATATTTGGTGACTACGAATGTGTTTATTACTTTTTTGTGTAACATTCTGGACGTATTTAACTGTGGAAGCTTCCGGCCTTCGTAGGAGCGTGCTGGACTCTGCCTCCGAGATTCCAATGACTACAGTAAACAACATCGAGGACGAGATCATGTCTATCGGGCCCACTTACTTCAGCCTGATGGATGATGTGGATGCCTACTATTCTTCCAACAACGTCGACCCAGACGTGGAAAACATGCTTCTTTCCTATGTGAAGGCCAAGGCGGCGCTGTCTGAGCACTACGTTGCAACCGTGCTCAGATCCGGAGAGACCATTCGGGACGGAAACCTCGAGCTGACCTCTCAATACGACCCGGACACCAGTGTCCTCACGGTGCCGCTCTCCATCGCGCCGCTCGTGCTGAAGGGCCGCGAGTTCTTCCTCGAGTCATCGACGGTGGGCTTCGTGATGACGCGCTTCCTGTACCACGTGTTCCAGGAGAAGTTCCTCTTTGGCATGGAAGCCGAGACGGAGGCGCTTCATGGCGTCAAAGGTTGCCTGGAGAGACAGTATGGAGCCATCGAGGTGGGCCCTCTAAACAAGACTCTGGACGGCCACCGTACACTGCGCGAGAACATGGCCGACAACGTGGCCGTCACCGTGCTCCACAGGGCCTATCGGACGTCGCTTCTGTTCTACATATCGACCATGGACGCGATGGGCTTCCAGAATGTATTCCTTCATTTTGAGAACCTTCCCAGCGTGAGCTCGGAGCAGCTTTTCTACCTGATGTTCGGTCAGTCTTTTTGCGACCCAGACGAGGACACGGAGCGTGTCATTGACGACGCCACTTGGGCGCCGGCAAAGTACCGCGTGAACGTGCCACTTAGCAACTACGAGCCTTTTTCAAAGGCCTTTGAGTGTCAGCCTGGAAGCAAGATGAATCCAAAGAAGAAGTGTCGTGCCGTGTGACCGGCTTGTAATGCAGGAGTAAAGCACAGGTTGGTCAGAGTTGAAATTAGCGTCTTGCTTCTTGACTTTCGTGACTGTATGTCCATCACACAGTCACGATGCAGTCATGTTAGGGAAATATTAGAGCTCCAATTTAAGGTATGTTTCTCCGTTGATCTTACGAGCCACTCTCCGTCAAATGCTTTTCCATGTGAAGCTTTCTTCCGGTAACAACGACTCCCCTCTTAATGCCTCAGGCAAGAATTCACCTATTGAAATCGTGATCTGATTTTCGAAGCGATAAGTGGTGTGGAGGCAGAATTCACGAAATTCCAGCGGATTCCACGCATCGGGGGAATGTATGTAAGGCGCTTCACCTTACCTGCGCTTCGCCGCATTGCATTGCTGAGTAACTCAGGGAACGAATTGCAACTCATAATTACGGAGTTAGCCAAGGAGAGCAGAAAGGTAGGTCTTAAAATGAATCTGCAGAAAACGAAAGTAATGTACAACAACCTCGGAAAAGAGCAGCGCTTCGAGATAGGTAATAGTGCACTTCAAGTTGTAAAAGACTATGTCTACTTAGGGCAGGTAATAACCGCGGAGCCGAACCACGAGATTGAAGTAACTAGAAGAATAAGAATGGGGTGGAGCACATTTGGCAAACACTCTCAAATTATGACAGCTAGATTGCCAATATATCCCTCAAGAAAAAGGTATATAACAGCTGTATCTTGCCGGTACTTAGCTACGGAGCAGAAACCTGGAGACTTACAAAGAGGGTTCAGCTTAAATTGAGGACGACGCAGCGAGAAATGGACAGAAAAATGGTAGGTGTAATCTAAAGAGACAAGAAGAGAGCAGAGAGGATTAGAGAATAAACGGGGGTTAAGGATATCATAGCTGAAATCAAGAAGAAATGGACATGGGCCGGGCATGCAGCGCGTAGACAGCATAACCACTGGTCGTTAAGGGTAACTAACTGGATTCCCAGAGAAGGAAAGCGGGTTAGGGGGAGACAGAAGGTTAGGTGGGCAGATGAGATTAAGAAGTTTGCGGGTATAAATTGACAGCTGCAAGCACAGGACCGGGTTAACGGGCGGAACATAGGAGAGGCCTTTGTCCTGCAGTGGACGTAGTCAGGCTGATGATGATGATGATGTAAGGCGAATCAGTCGTCAAGTACAGGGTATTCCAGATTTTCGCTTTGGGTGTAAGCGTTACGAGGTGGATCGATCTCTTTGGGTGAATTTAGTAGTTGTGTACAGGCTTTCGAGGCATGTTGACTACACTGTGCTGTAAAGAGTGTAAAGGGTAGCTCATTGTCCCTGTGAACGTAGGCACTTGAGCTACTGTTATCGCAATAAAATCCAGTCCAGGATGAGATAATGTAACATATATCAGTATCGGTAGTTGGCGTAACTGAGCAACGCATCCGACGTCAATGTTTTCTACATTGTTACATAAAAGCGCTTAGCCAGCACTAACCACAATTGACGTAGCTCCGAACTGACACGCATATAAAGTATCTGTACTAAATAGCTTAAAAAATTGGCGAATCTCTGTGCGTGGGTTGAATTCTGGCTTGAGCGGTGAATTTCATTCAAATTCTCGGCACCAATCGGGATAAGAGAGATTTCTCGCTCATTGACAACGCTGTCAGCCCCAGCAGTGGATTTTCTGCAGCATGGGATCCGTAACGTTGTAGCTTTATAATTTAGGTAGTCTTAGTGACAATCGCCTGCGGCGCATCTTCGTATACCACGGGCCGTCTTATGCGGGTATGTGCCACAGGCCACTGTGGGAAACGTACTGGCCAGGAAAGTCACGTTATTCATGCATACCTGTGAATCGCGTGCGTCCTGTAGACGTTTCCTCTTATGCCAATTTTGGTAGTATACCAAGGAAAACTGGTGACACGAGATGCGCTAGGCCGTGTGACACGAGAGGCGCTGGGCCGTAAGCGACTAGATAGGTGGGTGGGCAGCTAGAAACTGTCAAGACACGGCTCACTAAAGAATGCTTCGCATTTAAAACTTTTTTCATGCTTCAATGGTGGTTCCGCTGTCGTTGGCCACCTTCGCTAGCGTGTTCATCATAACGAATCGGCTGTCTCTTGTGAACAGCTCTAACTAGATATTTGAGGCGAAAACCTGAAATTCTTTTCAAGGTCGTGCGAAAACAAACTGTACAAAATGAATCGTGAGGGGTATGCGTGTGCTTCGTTGACTTCCAGTCACGTGAGCAAAATAAAAGAAAGCACGTGAACTGCACGTCTGCTTCATTTTTTATCGCGTAAGTTCGTCCTACGGCAGCAATACTTATTAAACAAAATTATGCAGCTTCGTTTTCTTCACGAAGTCGAGGAAGGACCCGTGGTTTGGACCGCAAATTTATTGCTGCAAGTGAGACGGCTTGGTGTGCTGGAGTCCCGCACGCCGCAGATGGCGTCGACGAGCCGCTTGAAGCCCAAGGCATGTTCATAACTGAATGCGTGAACAGCGCAACCTAAACGTAGTTACAACGTAACTACGGAAGCGAAAGAACAAGAATAGAAAATGTATAAACGATGGTTCAGGTCTGCTTCTCGTACCGGCGCGGGGCGAAATGGGCAGCTTGAGGTTGTTTCTGTGTATAGCCCCACTTCGCGCGGACTGATCTGAAAAGACTCATGGTAAGGTTGTGCTTACGCGAACTTTTGGGAACAGCGTTGCCGACGTTCCTCTAAAACAGAAACGGAAGCTTGTTCCTTCGCAATCTTGGAACGAGTTCTCGTTTCAAGTTCCCTAAATGCTAAAGGAACTTGTTACAGTTACATCTCGAAAATTGGGACGCGTTGTTACGTTACCGTTACATTTGAATTCTCGATCGATATATAGTGCTGGATAATCTCTAGGCAAATTAAACTAAAAATCCTAATGTCCATTTCGTGCTACATATATTTTACGAATTTAACATCGGCCGCGCCAGCTTACATGCAGATAGAAGGAGTGTAACGAAACAATCCTAGACGAACTTTTCAGAAGTCACTGGCAATACTACAAATATGTCTGACTGCAATATTAGAGCTCGTTCATTACAAGTGCAACACATATAGCACTTTCTAGATCAGCCTTCAAATAAGCGGTCAGTATATTGCCCTTCAGCGTCACGCCAGGCTTCAGCACGTAAGAATTGCACAATTAGTGAGTATTTTACGGCCTACGCATTAAAAACCGCTTAGACAAAGTCAGCGGCTGCGTACGTTCTCGTTGGAACCGACGCGTATACAGTGGACTCTTCCCTGATTCGCAAAAGGAAGAAATATATGCGTAGTGGGCACTTCGCAACTGTACTTGCAGTGGGCATTCCAAAATAGCTTCGAACGGCGACTGTTATGACAGACGTGCGATTTCCCGTGCGATGCAACGTGTGGTGTCGCATTGTGCGGCGTGCCGCATGCGACGCTTTGGCCCACACGGGGGCGAAGGAGCTATCAGCGGCTGGCTCCACCCTTATGCGGTGCCTCGGCACGTGCGGTCGGACGACTTTGCATCCTCGTAATGAAGCTCATAACAAACAACAGTGCACAGCTGCGCTTCGTCCCATAAAATAATAATGAATAAAACGTCTTCGTGAACGACAAGCACGTCGCAACAGCGGTAACAGCTGATTATTCACGACTCCAACAGGTAGGCCTAGCATGGCGGGTGCTGGCCGTCGCCTACGCCGTTCACACGCGAGCTCGGCATCGAGCGTTTGTTTTTGACAACACTATTGAGCTTTGCACTCGTATGTAATGCGTTTGCATACGCTATTACTTTCTGGATGCCATCGACGTGAAGAGCAAAGGTGGAAGCGAAGCGAGCCAGCGTAGACACGCTGGTGGCCGTGTTCACCTGCGAAATGACTTTGCATCGCTGCTCACAATCTCCGGTCTCCCTAACGGTTTCAAAACGGGCGTTGTCGTGCAGAAATGGCCCACTTCAAACATCACTTTATTCATTCCGGAATGATATCACGTCACCAGAGAATAGTACTCGATGTTTGTCACGCCACCGCAGTTGGAGATGTCAGCAACTCACGACTCGCTTGAACTGGCCTGAATCACGGGTAATGGGAGCGTGGATGGATGGATGGATGGATGGATATGGCTGTACCCTTTAGATCGGGCGGTGGCTAGCGCCACCAAGCCGTAATACTTAATGAACCCAAAAATATATTTTTTTTCCTTAAAAAGTGAGTTTGAGGATTCGTACTTTGCAGTGAAGAGTTTAATTTTCACTCGTGCCTTGACTTTAGCCACCAATCAGATAACCTCCTTCTAGTTAAGTCTACTTGCTTAAAGTCTATTTTGCCCTCCCGGTCCCTAAACCCCAGTGCTTTGAAAAACTCTGCGCCATCATCCTGAACTATATGGTGAAGCCCTTTACAGAACATTATCAAGTGTTCGGCAGTTTCTTCTTCCTCTCCACACGCACTGCATACTGTGTCTACCCCTTCGTATTTGGCCCGATATGTCTTGGTTCGCAGTACTCCCGTCCTTGCCTCAAACAGTAGAGAACTACCCCGAGTATTATCATAGATCCTTTCCTTGGCAATTTCCAGCTTAAAAGTTCGATAGATCTCTAGTGCGGACTTCTTAATCATGCCCATTTTCCACATGTCAGTCTCCGTTTCCTTCACTTCCTTCTTAACAGATAGTTCTTTTTGGTTTGGCCACCTGCTGTTTTCTAAGTATTTACTAGTCAACTTCCTGGTTCGCTTCCTCCATTTTGTATCGACATTCTTCATGTACAAGTAACTGAAAACCTTCCTTGCCCAACGCTCCTCCTTCATTTCTCTCAATCGCTTCTCAAATTTTATCTTGCTGCTAGCTTCCCTGCCCTCAAATGATGTCCATCCCATATCACCTTGTACTCCCTGATTTGGTGTATTCCCGTGAGCTCCTAAAGCAAGCCTACCAATTCCACGTTGCTTAATTTCTAATCTTGCTTGACCTTCTGATCTCATGCACAAGACCACATTGCCGAACGTCAGCC